GCGCATCAGAGTTTGGGTGTGTTTTTAATGAGTCTGAGCAGGGGTTTTGGGTTCGTTTTCCGAGGTCTGACAAATAATGATAATTTAATTGAAAAATACAAAAATTTTGAACACTCAATAAACTGAAAATAAATAATAATATTTAATTTAAAATATTGAAATTTATAAAAACTCAAAATTACTTACTGTGTCTACAATAATTTTTATATACTGATATAGAGTGAAGTAGTTGGTTATTGAAAAAATGACATGGTGATATAAATAGAAGAGCATAAAGGGCCAAATTTATAGTTAGACGTTTCACTACAATTTAAATATCCATGTACACAATGTTCAAAATTTCGGTTATTTGACTTTGAATTCCTTCGGGAAAAAGCCTTATAAACGTGTGGTAGTAGAAGCAAAATATATAAATTTGTTGACTGACATAGTTTCCAATGAATGGCCACAAAAGCTTCTTCTCACGTATCATTTTCCTACTGCAAAGGATCAACCCTCTGTATGAATCATATAGCTCAGCCAGATCTTGCAAAAACGTTTAGTCCCTTTCCCACAATGTCGACCGAACAAAATTTGCAGATTTTTATTACCAAACCTACCGTTTTCTTCCAAATTCATGCAACTTGCAACATGCACACCCCTTCTTTCTCCTCAAACCATTCTCTACCCATAAATAAAAGATTAAATGTCAGAACCTATTCCATTCAACTAGCCATATAATTTGTGCCATATAATAAACATCACCTTTCTCGTGTTATATTTGGAAAAATTATTTTCTTTTTTTTAGTTTGTTGGAGATCTTATATAAACTATAAATCAAATAAATTTATCATGTAAAAATGAATATAAACTCACATCATTATAAGAAAATATCTAGATAATAATCAATTTTAAAGTCAAAACATAATTAATCATTATAATGACCAATTTGGATACAAATTTATAAACTAAAAATTATTGACATATAAAATAGTCTTGAATAAAAGATTATAATTAGATTATAAATTTGTTTCTAAATTAGTCACTAACATTAGCTACAATTATTATAATTAGGATCAATTTATATACAAATTCTTTTGGTAGTAAAAAGTAATGTTAGTAACTAATTTAAAAACCAATTCACAATCTAATTATAATTTTTTTAGAAACCGACTAATCTTTAATTTAAATTGGTTATTACAGTGACTTTTTATTTTTTGTTTTAAAAATTGGTTACCATTTAGGAATTTTCTTATATTGTATTATATAATTCAATTTTATGGGAATTAATTTAGATTTAAAAGTTTATTTTTTAATATGGTATTATAACTATTATAAATCCATTATAATGATATTTATTGTTTATTAGACCTATTATGTCATCTATTATCGAGTCATTATCTGACCATCTATTAATATCTAATCCTATATTCAAAATATGACTTCACGTTAGAATTATAATGAAGATCACAAGTTTAATATATATATATATATATATATATATATAT